CATTACAAGAACAGCTTTGTTTCCTGGGCTGAAGGGGTTATCTTAAGGGGAGAAATTGAGCAAATTGAATCTACATCCATTGGCGTTTAGAAACGTGAGAGGTGGACTTACTGAAATATGCAAGATTCCATAAGGACTTGACAGAGTAGATGCTGAGAGAGTATCTCCCCCTTGTCAGGGAGTCGAGAACTAAATGACAGTTTTTAAAAAATAGCAGTCCTGCTTTTAAGGTGGAGAAGTGGAGAAAACTTTATCTCTGAGGGTAATTCTCTTCCCCAGGGTACAGCTTGCGGCGGGGGGGGATCATTGATGGTATTCAAAACTGTTATATTCAACTTTATCAACAGGAAAGTCAAGAGTCATGTAGAGCAGACAGGAAAATGAAGTTGAAGCAGCAATCAGATCAGCATCGTACGATGGTGCAGGCTCAAGTGATTACCTGGCCTATCCCTGTTTCTAATCCTTGTGTTCATACGTTTTGTGAAAGGTCCACCTTCTCTCATTCAGCCCACATACAAACACCTTCTGCAGATAGAAGCTCAATAAATGAAGATACAGTGATTTTAGTTCTGAGTTGAAGGAAGAGTTGGTTGAACACACACTCTTGGTGAAATTAGCGAGATGGAGGGCCAGGATTGTTAACAACCTTGAGAAATTTATCCAAGGACTCTTGGATGGTTTTCATTTTCTTCTGCCGGTAGATCTCCCTGTAACAGTTAACATGTTCGTTGACCGCCCTGTTCACTTTGGCACTGCGTTCTCGGTTTGGGTCACCCTCAGTGAAGATTTTCAATGCCTCTTCAATGAGCTGGAAAGCCTTTGACAATCGTTTTATTGACAGAACTCGAGGGGGCACGGTTTCAGTGCCATCTTCGTCTTCAGCTCGTTGACTCTGTGGTTGCATTAATTCTTCATTGGTCAATTCATCGCCACGGGGTGCCTGTAATTCCACACTGTCAGTGTCCTTGACTTTATCAAAGCCTATTTCCCCTGTTGAAGTCATGACTTCATGATGAATTTCAGGGACAGCATCATGAGATCCTCTGTGGTTGCTGGCACACTCAGTCTTCTCCTCTTTGGAGGTGTAAGTTCTCTGTGGTATACGCTTCCGGTAAAGCCCTGTTTCATCAATGGTGAACGCTTGTCTCGATGAGTGACTATTTTCTCCAATCATTCTCTTCAAACGGGCAGGGAATACATCAGCCCCTTCAGGATCAGCATTAGCCGCTTCACCGCTCACTTTAATGTTATGCAAACAGGAACGTCTCTTGAAGCGCTCAAACCAACCTCGACTAGCACTGAAACTTTCCAACTGTGAATTTGCACTCTGCTCATTCCGCAAGTCGTTGTACAGGCTTCTGGCTTTTGCCTGGATGACCATCAAACTGAGAGGCACCTTGCGCTGGTTTTGTTCTTTTATCCAGACTTCCAAGAGTCTTTCCATGTTCTCCATGATGCTGCTCCTGGTCCGGCTTATCCTGCTGGCACTTACAGGAGTAACACTTTGCGCACTCTGTTTGATTTTGTCAGCGTTACCACGGATTGTTCTCACTGATGTAGGGGGTAGGCCAAGCGCTCTGCTGATCATGACTGCTCGTTCTCCCGCCTCAAACCGTTTTAGGACCTCTAACTTCTTTTCCAAAGTGATCGTTTTCCTTGTTTTTTTAGTAGCACCAAACTGATTATCGTCACTTACTGGACGTTTTCGATTCATGTTTAAGAGTGATTCCACATACGCTAAGTCACAAGCTTGGAAGAATCTTAAACAACTTTCAAGTGGCTTTGCTGCCTCCAGCCGATGCTAGGTTGAACAAGGCCACACTCGGGGGGCTCCAGAATTAATCAGAGAATTGAAAATTTAGGTTCCTGAAGGATAAATGCTGCACCCTGTATCTTTCACCCAAACAAGCCCTTGAGCCAAAGAAACCATTTTACCTGCTGCAATTGCCTCTCACCGACTTTAAGTGGCCTCTCTGCCTCATCCAAAACAAAGCTCCACAGCATCAATACCTGAGGCTCTAAAATAAAAAGAGGATTTCAGAGTCAGGAACTGCACCTTCATAGAAGTGAGCAGTCTACGAATTTCAGCTTCATTCCTGAAAATGACACACAACTGATATAGCATTTCGACATATAGTAGTGTCCTGTGCTGCAGTTACCAGGAAAAGCAACTGATACCTCAAACGTCTCTACTCATGCTTGCTCCAAGATGGCGCCAATCAGCTCACACATCACTATGCAAGGCGGATTAACATTACTGCGGAAGTAGCAATGTTCAGAATGCAGCACCATTAGCCGCACAATGTTAAAGTGGAATATCACCGAACGGAACAATTTAAAGTGGGGACTTGCTGAAACTTTAAACCAACAATCCTATTTATAGAGTGTGTTACTCCAATCCTGGTTGGTCATGTTACGATATCACAGAAAGATGATGCTATATCTCACAAAAAAAGTCAGAGAAATCGCAAAGATTAATTGATCTGTTGAACTGTTTGTGGACTCGACCAGATGCTAAATTTGATATATTAGACTCAAGTCTTGGGAATGAGAAGTTGCCAATTAGAGAAAGCTTTAAGGGTAGAACACAAAGTCATTCATTTTCAGATACTTATTAGTCTTCCTGATGGGTGTTCTAGTGCAGCTAGATTCATAATATTTGTGTTTGGTGAAAATGGGAAATGTTGCCCCTCAGTTAGGGAAGCTAATAAAATAAACTTC